TGAGTTACTCCAACATCTGTGTAAAAGCAGAGCTCCTCAGAGAACACTACTACTTCACTAACACCAGTAAAGGAGCCAGGGGACAAATCTGGCCCTACTTGCCCCTGTGAACAATGTTCTGTTTTGCTCGAAATCAATGTCACGAAGCTATGGGCCTTGAGCTATTTTTCCAAGAGGCCTAAGAATTTGTAGTGTTCCACCTGCCTGTGCCTCTTTTGACCAATGACAAACATTTATTAACTGTCTGGTCTGGGACTGAGCTACAACTTGAAATCACATAAAAAAGTCAATTTAACTGGTCCAGATAAAGATTTCTCACTGTTAACTTATCATAAATCTCTAAACTTACAGATAGCATGTATCAGGTGAACTTCCCTTTAAGGTATCAAAAAAATTAACATGCTTAATAGTTAATAACTGGGCCTGATTACAGCCACAGAGAATAATCAATGAGCACTTACCAAGTGCCTACTATGGGAGGGGCATTGTGCTGGGCAGTGATGATAAAAATATAAAAATGAACCTGTCTCTTCCCCAAGGAGCTCAAGAACTAAACCACTAGCTCAAATACCACATTAAACCTATCACACAAAATGACTCCACAGAGCTCTGTGTAACCAGTTCAAGTCCTTGTTAATTTGCCACAGTTCTGCTAGGAAGCCCCCCCTTTCTCTCACCTACTCAAACGGCTCTGTGATCTCACACCAAAAGTTCTATCCTTTGACACAGGTCACAGCCCACCCACCTGTGCCCATTCTCATCCTTGTCCTTCCAAAAGGTCAATGCAGGGGGTCCATTTAACATGCTAGAAGGTTTTTGTTTGTTTGTTTTTACTTATGGTGAGAGTACTAGTAGAATGGGCAGGTAGATAGGGCAGTGGAAAGACTTAACAGTTCAATTCTGGTCTCAGACATTAGCTGTGTGACCCTGGGCAAGTCACTTAGCCCTGTTTGCCTTAGTTTCCTCATATGTAAAATGAACTGGAAAAGGATATGGAAAACCAGGCCACTATCTCTGCCAAGAAAACCCCTAATAGGGTCATGAAAAGTTGGACATGACTGAAACAACTGAACAACTGGTAGAGCACTCTGACTTTCCACTTGTCATTCCTTGTTCTTGTCAAGTGACCATCTTCTCTTTCTTTGATATAATTTCTTCACGACATTCTTTACTTCACAGTCACTATGTGGCGTTTCCACTGTCCTCTGTGATATTCACCTTTAGTTCTTCAGAAAAGTGGTGCTTCAGGGCTTGCTGCTATACATCAACACAAGTATTGAAAAGCTGGGCCTTCATTGCTATGGGATGCTCAGGTTTAGTAAAGTATGGCTCAGTATTTTTGCAGTTTCCAAAAGCAACCCTTTTTAAAAAATCCGAGGCCAGTTCACTATCTACCTGTATTGCCTGTCCTAAATATATTTTGTTGGACAAGTGTTATCTTGGGTGTCCATGTAGATAGATGAATGTTGAAATCTGGACAACAGTCTTCATTTTTTTCTTTCCTGTGTGGCCAGACAGACCCAACTCCTTTGAGTAATTACAGAACCTGGAGGTTCTATAATATCACGAGGACAATGCAATTAACACTATGTTATCTGCAAACAGCAGCATTTAAAGCACTATTCACAGGGATTCTCTCTTTAACCTGGATTCTGCACTGGATCTCCTCTACCACAGTGGCAAATGCTTTCAAAAAGCATACATCTGTTTCAAGTTTTGCTCAATGTTTACTATCAGAGGGTTAGTAAACAGGGTTATTTCTGTTGTTACAAATTCTAAGGAATCATAAATGCTTGATGGAGCCATGTAAGACCCCTTGTTGCACAAGAGCCCATAAAAGGGAATGTTGTTCTACCGAGCTAAATGTTTTTTCAAAATTGATCAATAAGCACAATGATGTTTCATATTTTCTACACATTTCAGCCAATTGTGAGATGGTAAAGACACAATACATTGTTGAATACCATTTGCAAAAGCCTACTTGTTCTTCATTGAGGATGTCCTTAATTCATGGATAAGATAACCTCAAAAATTTTTGCCATAGATGGAAGAGTAGGCATATAAACAAATAGTTATTGATGTTCTCTTGGTCACCTTTTTTTTTTGGTACTGATAAAGTATGAGACTATTTTCCCCTAAGCCACTGGTACCTTATAGCTTATAAATTGGTCCGTCAATGCCTTCATAACTGTATCACTTCTAACAGATCTCCTTTCTCTATTTAAAGCCATTTGGCTGCTTTCCCCATCTTTGCTTTTTTTTTAGTGTCATCCCTAGTTCTCTTTTAAGCACCTCAGAGATTGGCGGTAGGGTTCCAGTGTGGCATATACTGGGGTCACTATCCTTGCTGGAGAAAAAAGTTTGTTTTAACAGTTTTTGCAAATACTTTCCATTTTCCTTTTGTTAGCAGTTGTCCTTTCATTTTTATCCTTGAATTGAATGCCCTTGAGATGTCTGCTCAGTATGGCCTCACCCCCCAATTACCTTTAACGACTTTGTATTTATCTTCTTTAGACTTATTCTCTATACATTTATATACATGCTTGTTGTCTTCCATTAGAATGTTAAGCTCCTTGTGAACAGCCATTATCTCACCACTCCTATCTGTATAACTAGTGCCTAAATGCTTGTTCACATAAGGGGCTTAATAAATGCTTGATGATTGACCGGCATCTTGCAAAGCTTTTTTTTCTTTCCCTTTTAAAAAAAAATTATTTATTTTTAGTTTTTAACATTCACTTCTATAAACTTCTGGGTTTTAAATTTTCTCCCTCTCCCTCCCCAAGACAGCATACAATCTGATATAGGCTCTACATATACATTTCTATTAAATATATTTTCACAGTAAAGAAGAATCAGAACCAATAGGAAGAACCACAAGAAAGAAGAAACAAAACAAAACAGAAGAAAAAAAAGAGCCAATGGTATGCTTAAATTTGCATTCAATCTCCAAAGCTCTTTCTCTGGATGTGGACAGCATTTTCCATCATGAGACCTGGAGTTACAATGTTCAGATTCTTAAATGAATTTCCTTACCGCATCTTCGAACCAAAATATTTTCTGTGGGAATGTACTACTAAAACTGTAATAATCTGCATGATCTCACATATATAATTGACATCATACTGTTTACCTTCTCAATGGGTGGGAGGACTGGAGGGAAGGAGAGAATTTGGAATTCAAATTTATAATACATTTTTAAAATACTTTTTAAAAAATGAACACTACACATAAATTTAAAGTGTTTTTTTTGGTGGGGGGAATAAAAATCAAGGGAACACAGCTTGTTTTTTCAAAAACGTTTTTGGAGGCGTTAGTTTCATACCACTTTTGCATTGGACAAGAGGGGCAAGATAAGTCCTGTTCTATTTTAAGTATAGGTAAATTAATTCATTGGTTACCTTCCCCAGCATTTTACTGAATGCAAGTTAAACAAATACATACATATACACACAATAAAATATATATATATACATATAAATATGTATGTGGTTTTTTTGCTTTGTTTCTGTCTGTGGACCTGTGATTTTCTGAGTATAAAGAGTTACTGATGAGGAACTTTGTTCAAAGTAGATCAGCACCTTTGCAACTCTGGCCTGGATTTACTACCTCACCAAGAGATTTTGCCCAGGGTTACACATCCAGTATATGTCAGAGACCAGACTTGAATACAGGTTCCTCCTGACTTCTTGACTCCTGACCAGCTTTAATCTACTACTCCATAATGCCTCTTGTATTTGTATGCGCGCGCGCGCGTGTGTGTGTGTGTGTGTGTGTGTGTATCTTTGTGTAAAAATGTTTATATGCATGTATATGTAAGATGTTGCTTTTACAGTCACTTTTCTTTTTTAGGTGTACTACAAATGTACAAACAACTCTCAAGGATTCAAAGTATACCTATATCACATCAAGGCTAATGGTCCACTAGTCTGTAAGAGTCCAAATCTTTTTTGAGGAGGTGGAATGGAGTATCCAATCTAATTAAAAGATCTTTGAGGTTAGAACTTTGCTCTGGGATGCAACAACAAAAACAAACCAAAAAAATGCTTCCTTACACAGAAGGTGCTTAATAAAATGTTTGCTGTATTGAGCCTATCCTCATAAGCACAAACTGGCTACAGTTTAAAAAGCATGCTTTCACATGAAAAGAAAAGTATGCTGCCTGGGAGAGGGAAAAATTAAGAAAGGCCCACCCATCCACCACTATACACAAATTCTCCAGCTTACCACGAACATATGCATATATAAAACAATATATCTATGGTTCATAATCACAAAAGAAATCTCTTTTCTTACTTGTAGTCACAACTAAACAAGGCTATCAAATATGCTTCTAAATGAACTGTAGGTTAGATGTTCTAAGTTTAACATATATGTGCGTGCATAAAAACAAAGGAAACTATTTCTCCATTAAAAATAAAATGTATGTGTACACCTCCACTTCCACCACTTAGTTTTCTTCCTTTTAAAAATCTTTAGTCTTCCATGAGCTAGCAAAAGAAAATACAAACTATGATGGCAAAGTTAAAATTAATGTGATTTGTAGTACTATTTTTACTTTCTTCTAACTCAGGAACCTGCCTACAATACTCCTTCCTTTCAAAGTAATATTGTTTTTGTTGTTAATTTAGTTTGAAAAACCTGTTGCTCAACTATAAAGCTCATGCTTTAAAAAAAAAAAAAAGACATCCAAATGTAAGAGAATGAAGTTGTCCTGTGATGCTGGAGCTGCCAGGCTTTTTGTTACTCAGTCTGAAAGTCAGTGTGGGCTGTCTCTGGAAAGACTGCTACTTCAGCACTTCCAAATGAATTTCAAGTCTATGCACTATTTTATCTTTTGTAAGTTTAATGTATTCAGCAATAGTGAGCTGACAATTTAAATAACTACATTTAAAAACAAACGATGCATTGATGTTAATGTGCGAAAACGGTCCCAACCCCTGGGAGTCTTGGTTCCCACCATTGTATACTCTGACAACAGGATATAATTGCTTACTTACTTGGCAGCAAATTTTACCATCTGCTTGCTTGCATGGTCTCCCACAGCCACAAGAGCCTGGACATTAAACTGCTGCTGACGTAGTACTAAGAAACATTGCTTCCCTGAATAAAGAAATAGAAACAATGCAGGTATATTAGGATCAAACTACTTCATTTTTTTTTTTGTTACAAAGAGGGAAAATGTTTCTTCACTTTAAAATAAGGCTAAAATTCCAAAACCAAATGATCATATGCATATGGAAACCTCTTTACCTTATTTAAAAAAAAAAAAAGGCTCAGATTCTTAAAATCTGGCCTGCTTGCATTAGTGATACAAATACTTAGATTCTGCCCAATATGACAGATGTTCTAATAAACCTTGTCTTTGGCTGGAAAAAAAAAAAAAAGCCTCTCACCCTGTTATTTGCCATTAATAAGTAATTTAAAACATTTATGCAAGTTATAGAACTCAAATCAGAACAACATAACAAAAACACAACCTTTAACAAAATACACACAATCTTTTAGGAAAAATGCTTTTTTCTTGCATTATGAATTTAGTATTACTGCAACTTCTATTAACTTCAAGTCACTTCTATAAAAAGCAATATAGTAAATAGAGAAGCTCATGTTCTCAGTTTCCTTTACTTCTCCATTGATAATTACCCAATCATTTCCCGTTTATAGTAGTACTATTATTTTCTATCACAAATGTTCTAGGTACCCATTTAAAGTTTTTTCCTTAAAAGATTTTTCTCAAGTCTTGCTTCTTTCCTATTCATCAATTCAAAATCATACAATTTTAGAGACAGAAGGGACCTCCACACTCATAGGACCATAGGACCACAGATCTGGAGCCGGAAGGCCCTCAGAGATCATTTAGTTCCATCTACTCATTTCCCAGATGAAAAAACAGGCATGGGGCAGTTAAGGTTACACAGTAGTGTGCTTCAGAGGTAGAATTTGAATCCAGGTCCTCTGACTCCAACACCTCTTTCCACCACGCCACACTGCATCCCATCACTAACTAATCCACTCCTCTCACTTCACAGGTAAGAAAACAGACTGAAAAGTTTAATGACTCATTCACAAATTTAAGAGCAGCAACTAGGATCCAGGTCTCCTACATTATAATTTATTGTTTTTGCCTATACTCCTCTTTCCCTTTTATATAAAAATGTCATCCTCTTGAGGAACAATGGAATTGGAATTAGAAATCATGGGATCATAGATCTAGAGCTGGGAGATATTTAAAAAATGTCATCTAGTCAACCCCTTATGTTTTGTGTGTGTGTGTGTGTGTGTGTGTGTGTATGTATGTGTGTGTGTGTGTGTGTGTGTGTGTGTGTGTGTGTATGAGGAAACTAAGGCCAGGGAGGTAGACTTGCCCAAGGTCACACAGGTACAGGTACTCTTAGGTTTGACTCCAGGCTCTGTCATTTACCAAGTATATGATCTCTAGAATGTAATTTAACCTCTCTCAACCTATTTCCTCATCTGTGAAATGAGGAAGATACCACCCCTTATTCTTCCAAGGCAGACTCTGGAGGAGCGTCCAATCGAACTTTGGGAATCAGTTTCCTCCATAGCATTTAAATCTAATTTAAAATTTATAATTGCTATTCTCATTATCACACACTTAGAGCTTTAAAAAAGAAAAGAAAATCTAAGAATATTCCTTGATTAAAAAAAGAGAGATGTTCTATGTGATGTCTCTCCTGATTCTCTCCAGCTGTCAATGCTCTCTCTCCCAAAACTATCTTGTATTTATTTTGAATGTTTTATATAAGCTTAAATATATACATGTTTTCTCTCCCAATAGAATGTACGCTCGGGGCATGGATTATATAATTTTTTATCTCTGTATCCCTATTACCTGGCACATAGTACGGTCTAAATAAATGCTTAGTTGATTATAGTTAGCAAATCAAAATGTTATTTGTTGAGTCTTCCAAAAGGATGTCAAGTTCCAGTTAAATATAAAAGAATAAAAACACAGTCTCAATTATAGACATAATCTACTTAAATTGTTGACCATACCTGGTTAACTGGAGTATTTGTATCATTTCTTTATCCCAAAGCCACAATTCTATGTTTTCCAATCCATCTGCTAAAATAATTTTAAAAATCATACAATGGGAAAACACTTTGTGGCATGGCCTCAAGATGGTAGTTTATTATCATGGGAGAAATTCTAGATACCTAAAAACAACAATGTCCATCTTTAAGAGTTGCCTTGAACTAACTCCAGATTGTTTAAAAAGAAAAAAGAAAGAAAGAAAAGAGTGAGACACTGAAGAAGGTACATTTACCATCACCTTATTCTAATGACGTGCTGGATCTGGAGACCAGTCTTCTAGAATTCTCAACTGTCAGTAAATTCAGAAATGCAACCCCAAACCCAAGGCTCTAGCAACAAAATAAGACTGAGCAACAAAGTTATAATGAAAACTTCTAAGAAGAGCTGAGGATTATCCCCATTGTGTAGTTTCTTGTCATGTTGTTGACCAGAGGGACAGGACCATCTGGACTGGCTGGCAATGTCTATAAAAGGCCAGAAGTTACTCTAGAAAGCTGAGATGCATGGGAGAAGTAACATGAGACAGAAGAGATAAAAAAGAAAAGCAGCGAGAATAGAATGACAGAGATTAGAAGTAGGAGCAGCTGGAGTAGAGTACTGGGAATAACAGACACTGATATTAACATGGAAGCAAAAAAAAAAACCAAAGTCAGAGAAGACAGAACAGTGCTATCATCTGGGGTGGGGAGGTACAACATCCATCTTCAAATTTTTAAAAAATCATTATTGATATCTTCTTTTCATATGAACTTCATTTCTGAAAACATCCCTCTCACCTCCTCTATTCAGCAAGCCATCTCTTATAACAAAGATTTAAAAAGAGAAAAATAACTATTCAGCAAAACATACCTAGTTTGACAATATTTTGCACCCAAAATTCCCTGGCCCCAGCCCTCCTCTCAAAGGATCCTCTTCTCTGGGCCAAGCTTTGTCATTATAATCATACACAGTTCAGTTTTGCAACATTCAACTCAGTAGCCTTTGAAGACACAGCTCTAACCTGCTTTGAGAGAGGCAAGGATGGAGGAAGGGAGAGACAGAGAGACAGACAGCAACACACAGAGACTTGGAGTCAGAAGACCTGCTCTGTCACTCACTGGCTTTGGGGAAGCCACTTGACTTCTCCAATTCTTAATCTTTTCACTTGTAAAGTGAAAATGTGGACTACTTGATCCTTAAGGTTTCTTTTAACTCCTTGAATATGATTCCATGGCAATAAATACAATTCTGCAGTTCAGGAGGTATTAATAAGTGTACAAAGGAGTGGCAAGATAAGCTATTAATAAACTTACTGTTTTCCTCAATACAACCAACAGAACAAACCTATATATTATTATCTGGATTATAAATTTCCTCTAGTGAAAAGCACAAAGCAAAATTTTAAGAAAAATTTCCTAGTATCAAAAGAGAAAACAATAATCTATACATGATTTGAAAAGCAATAGCAGAAACACTGCTATCTATATCAATGGAGCAGAAGGGCAGCCTGATTGTTCCCCAGTACCTGCTAGGGCTTTACTACCAGATAAAAAAACATTAGCACTGTCACTGATCAGTAAGTGCAATATTGCTTCGGAAGTCCATCAAAGTATCTACCATGTGCGAGGCACTGCAGAGGACCCTAATATAAAGGAAAGAGTGCCGGATATGGAGTCATCTGTGTGTCCTTAGGCAACTCTCTCAGCCTCTGTGGGCACCTCAGGTGAAAAAAAAAAAAAAAGGAGGTGTGAGTTCACAGAAGCTCAAGCCTCTGTAGCTCTAAAATCTATGATCCCATGATATATGATCCTTTCATACAAAGACACAAATGAAACACTCTTTGCCCTTAAGATATTTACATACTATAGAGGGAAATGCATGTCCACATCAGATATGTAAAACAGGAATACAAAACAAAACAGGGTAAAAATTTTTTAAGGAGCGGAAAGAGGTACTTGCAACTATTGGCATCCTCCAGGTAGGAGGAAGCATTTGGGTTGAATTTTGAAAGGAACTGGGTATTGTAAAAGGCAGAAACAAGGTGGGGTGGTGGCATGCCAGCAGTGTGTATGGAGATCATGGCTAATTGATTGTGACTGTCTTCCTAAGGCTGAACCCTTCTTACATCTCTGGTCTAACTTAACTGGGTCATGATTAATACTTCTTGGATAAACTGCTTTGTTTGATAGGATTTTGGTCTACAGACCAATATAATTTCTGAATATGAATTCAAAATTTTAAAATAAAATCCTATCAAACAGATGTTCATAGTATACCCTCATACTACAGGACTTCAACATATATACTGATTTCCCCCCAAACATCCTAAGCACTCAGTTCAACCTGTTCACTTCCCATGACTCCTCCACCCTACCGTAACTACACAACAATGATGATCAGACCCATGATCTTGCATTCACACACAAATATACCTCTTTCATGTTCCAGAATTCCCAAATCCTCTTATCTAACCATAATCTACCGGATTTTCACCTCTCCTTCTGCCTCCTCTTACCAAACCCTTTGCCTGCATCATGACCTCCAATACCTCAACCAATTCTCTCTCATCTCCCTTGCACTAACCACTCTCTTCTCTTTTCCCCATCTTGACCCCTTGGTAAACTAATTCAACTCTACACTGTCCTCTTCTCTTGAATCCTAACCCCTCCTTATCATATTTCCAATTATGCCCAGTCAAGCCTCAGTGGATCACTTCCACCATTTGCAACCTTTCTCCTGTATAGGAGCTGCTGAATAAAGATGAAGAAAACCACATAACTAATTCTCCTGGTTCCACTACAAATTTATATTATACAACCTCAACAGGGCCCTTCCCCGTGCTAGGTAATCCTATTATGCCTCCCTTATCAACTTACTATTCTACTCTTCACAGTGGTTCCAAACCTTTTCATTCCGCCTCAAACCAACCATGGTGTACCCTCCTCACCCCCAGGGCCACTTTTTCATCGGAAAACTTTGCCTATTTTACTGAAAATATTGAGGCTATTTGCTGAGAGCTCCCTTTTCTCTCTCATTCTCATCTCAGGTCACTTTAGGTATCTTC